GAAATTTATGAAATATTTCACTTACAGTTAATTTCAGTAATGCCAAGTGCCTTTTCGAAAGAATTGTAGATCGTGTCGTCCTTCATTGCGTCCCAAACCTTTATCGTACGGAGAATCATGGCCATTCGCTTCTCCTGAGCTGTGACGTCCTTGTCTTCCTTGATCCACTCGGTGCGGCACATTTGCTTGAAAGGCCCCATGATCGCGACGTCAAGGGGTTGCAATACGCTTGTAGTGTTGGCGGGCAAAGGCTGCCGAAAAGCCCCACAATACAGCTCCTTGCTCATAACATAATCTTGTAGCTTGTCTTCGAGACGTGGCACTTCAGGTTGTCGGCCAGCAACACAGAAGGGGAGTCCAACGCAGGCTTGAGTACTTCGCGAAGGTACATGGACCACACGCGTTGATCCATATACGCTTTTTCTTGCACGGCATACACAGGGTCAGGTAGGTAGGTTGGCACTTCGAAGCGCTCGATATCACCTCCAGGTGTACCCTTGACAATGATCAGTAGTGGAAGCTTCTCTCCTATACAAAGCGTAAGTACAGGTCATAACAAAACAATACCATTTCCACGAATTGATAGGACTACAGATACACGATTGAAATACGTCTACGTCTCCGGTACCCGGGACGACTCTCCCACTTTCTCAAGCGTTCGACCAGGCTGTCTTAGTAGACAGGAATCTCGTCGACATTGATCCATGCACGCCGCGGCTGATGCCCAAACTTCTCTTGAAACACCGTAGCACATTCGTGTTGTGAGGCCAACAGTTCTCCTTGAAACGCTTTCGCTGGACAGGGCACGCGATGTTTGTAGCCATGTCGATTGGCAAAGTTCAAGCACCTCTCAATCAGGCTCTTGTACGCACGAACTTCGTTTCGTTTGGCTGCCATAATTTCCGAGAGCCATTCGGGCTGGTGGGACTGCATTCACGTCACTAAGTGGGCGGTCATGAGGAAGTGCTTGCCTTCGCGCACCGCCTCCATGAATTCAACCAGCTGTTGCGAGAAATTGATGTTTTCGGATCGTGCGCGACCCATTAGAGTCGCTCTGAATCTGTGGGCGGAGGACTCCAAGAAGTGAGACACACGCGCTTTCCAACGACAGAACGTAGCCTCAGAAATGTTGTAGGTTCCCGTGAACATCCTGTCGCTGGAGCTAGGTCCAAGGAGAGCATTCATGCGAAGAAACTCTCGGATTGCGCACTTTGTATCGGCGCTGATGGCGCCGAGCGACACGATTTGGCCTGGTCATTCGAGAAATGGCGTGCTTTCATGCGTGTCACCTGCAGATTTGAATTATCCAATCAGATTCAATTATAAGAATTTGAATTGTCCAATCATACAGCACAAAATACTTGTATGTGATTGGCCAAAATACTTTCATTTGTGATCACTTCATTTTAAAATAAATATTGCCGGTATCACGCTGCGTCAGTTCCTACTCGGTTCTCTGTAATTACTGTATGAACAAAGGTTTACTAGTACTATTATATGTGTGGAATCAGTTTTTCGCAATCAAATTTACCAAGCCCTTTTACGTTGTCATGTCGATGTATTGAGGCGTAGTAGTTGAAGTATATTATAAGCGCAATTACATCGAGAATCTTTGGCTCCGCACTGACACAATCATTTTTTAACTACTTCCTCTGTTCCAAAATACTATGGTGCAAGTCATCTAAAGACTACGAAAAAATGCCTTGTCTTTCGACAGCTATTCCAGCTTTATATAGATATTTTTCAGGAAATTAAGCCGGTAGAACTGCACAAGAAAAAATGCCTTGTCTTTCGACAGCTATTACAGCTTTATATAGATATTTTTCAGGAAATTAAGCCGGTAGAACTGCACAACACTGAAGTTACGGTTCAGTTATTTTCGATTGGTGAAAATTGATCGAGTAATAGAATTTGAACAACCAGCCTTTTTCTATGGAAATATATGGAGCCAGGCACATTTTGGCCGAAGAGGAGCATCAAGTATATCTTGGTCTTTTCACTTATCCGTACGAAGGTTTCCATTGTATCCGGATTATTCAGGACGTTAACTTTAACAGTGTAACCTAACTACGAGGTAAAAAACGTAACTAATAATGATTTAACGGCAATATTTCGTGTGTTAACTGAAAGAACCGAGGCGTTTAATAGTAAAACGTCTCCTCCTGAGGATGGCCAATCTATAGTCTTTAGATGACTTGGAATTTGTATTGGTTGCGACACTGAGTGTTCTGCAATTTTTATTCAAAATCAAGAATTTGCGACCAGCTACATCAGGACATACTACACTCGTCGTCGTGTTCAACTTCAATCTCGTCAATCGCAGCAAATACTCGATTGATTTCGTTACTACCATAGACAGAGAACCGCATCGAACATGACACATTAAACAAATCACTGGATCTGTCCATCTCCTCATCGCATTGAAGCTGAGCGTAGAGCGCGTCAAATACCGCAAGGGTGTCTACGTCGCAATAAGGACGTATCAACAACATCCCTTCGTTTGCCATCTTGTCCTTTTTCAAATGCGGCAACACAAAGCAGTTGTCACCATGCACTTTCATGCCCCTTCATATGATTTTTTGCAACGTCATAAACGCCTTGTCTAAAACAGCATGGTCCAACTTCGCAAATGCGTCCTCGACGGCTACCACCAATTCTTCGATAGATCGGACCAAGGTACTATACAGTGCTGCAATGATTGTATGGCATTGCAAAAGTCAAGGTCCAGAACTTCCAAGTCGGGGCTCATGGGCGGCTGCAACGTGAGCCGGATGTTCCAGCCGTCCGAATATCATGCTTCAACCATATCTACATCGTTGACTTGTACGTGGGGGATAGTGTAGTTTTGCTGGGCCCAAATCACTTCAGATCGACGGCCCGGCCACTTGGATTTGATATCAGGAATTAGAAAATATACGAGATATTGACGGTATTCCTTATTCGTCACGACCTTGGGCACTGTGACTGGGGCACCACTGTCTCGGTTGTGACTCCGTCGTTGGGCATACTTGGTCTCAACGAACGTCCAGGTACCAATCTTCCCGTCCCATATCTGCTTGTTCTTACCGCCATGACGTGGTCTTGTGACCGCTGTGAGGAACATTACCTTCGTGATGTGGCGCTTCAGCTGGCACTTATTCTCGTCAATGTGCACCCAATCCAACATGTCCTGCTAGATCATCTCCCCCCCGTCCGTAGAAACAACTCCGAAAAACGCAACGCGAACAGCCTTGTGAGGAGGGGTCAGCAGCCCTGCTCACAAGGTCGAAGGCGGCTCGTACGGCGGCGCATATTATTCGACTTGACTAGCCGTCACAACGTTGTCGCAGGCATTCCAGTTGATTGGGCCAACGAACGAAATATTGAACGGTGATATGGATCAGTAGCTTTGATCGATGCTTCAAGTTATGTCAGCCTTTGGGAGCACTTGTGGCCGTAATTCCCTTGCTTCCGTTTCTTGGCCGCGTCTCCAAATCAGCGAGGATGCTTGCTGAGTGATGCCGAACTCAGCACAGAATGCTTTCATTGCAACGTGGCGAGCGATGGCTTCCTTCTTGATGGCAAGCAGAGAGATGTACAAACGTTTGCTCTCGTGGCAGTGCATGCCTTGCGCGGTGTGTACTAAGTTATTTTTGCACTTTTCACAACGTTTGGCTATTTGGGACTAAAAACCCTCTTTTAAATATGGACCTACGAAGCATTATTCCTGCTTCGTTTTAGTAAAATGAAGCACCGACCGTACCATTCTTTCTAGCAATTACATGCTCTAATCGGTGCTGATTTTATGGATCGTATGGGTTTGCTTCAAATTGATTGGTCGCCAAAGGTATTTTTTTCTGGTTTTAAGAGCAAGATTTGCTTGCGATTTTGTTGGACGAACTTGCAAATCTCAGCGAGCTTCTCTGCAGTCACGTCCACGCGCACATTTGTCGTCATGCCACTTGATTGTGAAGTGTCACAGTTCGTATTTAATTTAGAAGGTTTTTCATCAAATAAACCTCTGTGCTGTGCTGTAAATCATAATGGTAAAAGTCTTATTTTACAGGTATTTATTTTATGCAGGCTTGGATACACAGAAATGGGCAGTTTTCTGTGCGAAGCTCAGTGATTACTATCCACCGAAGCCTGTAATTTTGACAGTATATGTGTTTAAAGAGTATGCATCGATTAAAAAAAAGGCGTTTGAATTGGACAAATACTTCGTCCAATAACATCCCCGGACCCCTCGATGGGCTCGCCCACTGTTAACAGGGGTGCTTGCAGATCACACTTCGGCAACTCGGTGTTTAACAGAGATGATCAGCTTGGACATACGAGGCCGGTGTGTCGTCCTTGTCCAGGTGTATTCAATGGACGTAGACACTATTGTTGTCTTACTTGGCCTCTCCCATCGGTCCGGGACACAGTTCATCACAAAGTTTATGCAAAGCGCAAGTCAAGGAAGAAAAACCGTTGGCCCGTTCAAGTGAACTAATAGATCCTTCAGTACACAGCTCGTCACTCGTGCTTCTACATCGAAAAGCTCCAAAAGGCGCTGAAGTTGGAATTCCCCACGCTTTAAAACGTGTCCCAAGCAATCGTTTGTCGTGCATTGATGCATTGATTTGGGCTTGACTCTCAAATGTGACAAATAAATGAAACACTCTATTCGCTATTTTTATGACGTATATTTCCTAGTGCTTGAAAAGCGACCCGCGAAGCGGCAGGTTTTGAGCTGCATGACTACTACCGACGACTCCGCCCATTTTACTCCAAACCCGACCAATTGGACTTTGTCAACGACACATCAATAGACGACCGTGATACCTTGCGGAAGTACGACTAGTCGAAGCGAAACGCGAAGGCCAATGTCGCGCTATCTTTTTCGCGTGGCCAGCGGAAGTCTCCATTAGCTACGTATTCAACTTTTGTCTTTTATCCTGGAATTATGTTGACGGTATTCATGTATATTAATATTGAATATATATGATAGGAACGTTCGATCGGGATCGTTTTCACAAGGTTATAACGGAGTGAATACTTTCGTACTTAAACCTGTGGCCGTTGCCTCGATCTATCCTGATCTTGGATAATGCTAAGATCCATATATGTACAAGAGCTCCAAAACGCGGTGCTATCAACGGCAGCATTGTGTTGTTTTTATCCCCATATTCCCCACAACTAAATCCAATCGAAGTCGGATCGACATTGCGGGTACTACACGGACGACCTCGACAAAGGCATTTTTTCAAATGTGGGAGCTGTAGATTTTAGAAATACAACTACAGTTTTACATTATTTTTTCAAATTAAACAAAGTATTTTAAGGATTATATATGTTCCTCATTAGTGGGGCGAGAATGTTTCTGAAGCAACTGACGCAAAAATAGCAGTCAAGCGACGCACCGGCTAGCGATCTAAGCCGAATGTGCACGCAACTGTAAGGTTCAACTTCCCCTGATGTGGCATTCGCGCTGCTCCGGGTGCTGCTGCACCCTTTGGTCGATGTGGCCAAGCTGGTCCATAGTAGCATTTCCCGATATTTTGATGGGGCGGTTGTAGGGAGTCGGGACGTGCAAGTACCCGCGTATTATTGACTTTGTTATGATCTAAGACTGACGGCATGCTGGCAAACGTGCTCGGCTACACGTACATCAGATGATTGTATGTTCTCCTCCGTTGCACGACGAATAACAATTACGACATGTTTTTCTGTCCATATAAACAATCAATCAATGAAGCAGTATAACAACAAGGTCAAATGTTCATATATAATTAGAAAGCGAAACGCTGCAAAACAAATGCTGATTGTCCAAGGTGTGTTTTGCCATCGTTGTCCCAAATTCTTGCGATGGTGTCTTTGAAGTTGTCCGCCGATAGTAGCACATACTTGCTTTGTGAGGCGTTTATCGCAACCTTTGCGTACACGTCCAATGGTACATGCGGTCCCCATTGAAGCTTGTCGCGGATCGGAGTGGAGTGTTGAGTCGCAACCAAGTTGTCGACGATGTCAAAGACTGTCCCAGTCATTATATTGAATGTATCAATTGGTCGTATTTAAAACAGGACTGCCCCCACTGATGTCCTGCTCTTTCCCAGTGCCAGGCAACCTTCACTGGTACGCTGCAGTGAAACAGATCGCAGAGGCATCCTCGCGACGTCACTAACCACCAACGAGATTGTTGTTATAACGATTCGTGGCGTTGCGTAAAACGAATAAGTTTTATTTCACCCAAGGACAGACCCTTTGATATGCTTCGTTTTATGCGTATGGGCACAGTTCCGTCACACTTTTTGGGACCCTTCGATGGAGGGGTTCCTTTACTCCAAATTGTTATTATAATAGTGTTTCTTAACAGAGGAGAATGAATGCACTCAAAATCATGTCGAAATTCGTATTAGTGTTGGTGGAAAATGAATGGAAATATCCGTAGGTTTATTGGTTTATTTACTGTTATAATAATTCGTTCGTTTGTTAATTAACAGTAAGAGCAACACAGCCGTAATTTTTTTACTACCAGTACTTCGAAGTACTACTTACTACGTAGTATTATTCGAAGTTACGGATAATTTCTCTATTTTCCGGGAAATCTGTACTACGTACTACCGGGTAAGTTTAACGTGAACTCTCGATGATGAGCCGAATTTCGATGATTGGCCGAGAAGGTTTACCAAAATCCAGATGTCACTTGATTGGATAAAATAGATCACTCCAAAACGTAATACATTTATTACCTTATGCAACATTGTTGATGAAATTAGTCAAATTTGCCTCCAATATACGATACTTGTGTAAACATTATATTCCTCTATAAATTGTTTTTTAGCATGCAACATCTCAACTACTCAATAGTTTAAACAAGTATGTGAATCGGCCTATCATCGAGAGTACTGTTTGAGTGTCCTATTTCAATAATTTATTTGCCCAAGTTCGAACTATTTAAATTGATTTGCAATGGAATCATCTAATAGATGATGAATAAGGGATTTTGAAATACAACTTTCATGAAGTGGCTTCTTAAACTGAACGAGATATGGGCAAATGAAGGGAGCTCAAGTTCGGCTGATTATCGAGAGTTCACGTTAGTAGTATTTGGTTGGAGCGAAACTAACTGCAAATTTTCTCGTTTTACGGTCAACAGTAAACTTAACCAATTTCGGGGACAACGTTCATTTATCCAAAATTGTACCGGATACAACAAATGCTATCCGGGAAAACCGAAGTTAAATTTTTGTGCCAATACTGACGCCGCGGTGGAGATGCTCTAAAGCTCATAAGGCTCCTAAAACCACTGACAGAATTGTTGAAAAGCACAATATATATTCCCGCGTTTATCTCAAAACTACAGCTTGGTTCATGCATACATGGCCTCGATAGCATGTTCGTATTTGGCCATGACCACCCGTCGTTTCAACTTGAGCGTGGCCGCGAGTTCGTCGCCGCCAATGCTAAAGTCCTTGTCCAGAATGATATACTTTTGAATGTGCTGCGCCCGGGACGCCGCGCGGCCGTTGGCTTTTTTCAACTTCGTCTCCACGTAGGCCTTGACCTTGTCGCAGGTCTTGGCCTCTCCCACGGTGGTCGCCGTGGATCCGAGGCCGGTCAGAATGGCGAGCGCCGTGCTGTCCAGCTGGTCGCTCGGGTTGCCGTCGGCATCTACCACCACCTTGAGCGTGAACACAGCCGTGAGGAACTTGCGCCGGTCGCCGATGGCCATGGCGTTCGACAGCAATGGGATCTCTTCCTTGATCGCGTCTTCCAGCAGCACGGGGGGGATATTTTCCCCGCCTGCGGTGATGATCAGCTCCTTGATGCGACCCGTGATGGAGCAAAAGTTGTCTTCGTCCAGCTTGCCGCAGTCCCCCGAGTGCAGCCACCCGTCGGCATCGATCGTGTCTTTGGTGATTTGTTCAGCTTTGAGGTACCCCATCATGGTGTTGCGGCCCTGGTAGATCAATTCTTGTGTGTCTTCGACCACTTGCATCTGTGTGCCTTGCATGGGACGCCCCACCGTGCCGATTTTCCACGCCCCAGTCATGGAAAACGACGTCGGGCCAGTGCACTCACTCTGTCCAAACAGTTCGTAGAGGGGAATGTCCAGCGCAGCAAAAAAGTTGACCGTCTCCAAGCTGATGGGCGCGGCGGCAGATAACATGCCTTGGCACCGATCAAACCCGAGGGCCGCTCGAACTTTGGACAAAATCAGGCGCTGGGCGATCGTATATCCACAGGGGGTGCCGCCGCCCTTGCCAAACTGCGCGGCTTCGTTTTTTGCTGCGCCGACACTTTTAGCCCACGTCACGAGTGTCTTTTTCAGGCCAGTGGTGCCCCGGCCAATGGAAATCATCTTCTCCATCATCTTTTCCCACACTCGGGGGACGGCAAAGAACAACGTCGGCCGCGCTTCCTTTAACGTGGTGCCCAAACTGCCCTTGAGGGCATCCGGCTGGGCAAAGTAGATGGCCAAGCCTCGCGTAATGGGCAAATAGATGTCGAATAGCTGCGCAGCGACATGCGACAAGGGCAAATACGACACCGTGTTGCTACGTTCGTTGAGGACAATTCCGGTTTGCTCGTAATGTACGGCAGTGGCTTCGACTGTCCACGTCAAGTTGTCGTGCGACAGCATCACGGCCTTGGGGTTTCCCGTGGTCCCGCTCGTGTAGATGAGGGTGCAGCAGTTGCCGGGCTTCTGGGCGCTCATCCGAGCCTCCAAAGCTGTATCGTCAACTCCTGACCCCGACGCCAAAAAGTCGGCAAACGTGAACACGGGCACGGAGCAGTTGAGGTCGCTGGGCACAACGTCGTTGTACACGACGAGAGCCTTCAAAACCGGCAGTTTGTGCGCAATGGCTACGTACTTCTCGAGCTGGGCCACGCCGTCGCAGAGAACCACATGTGCTTCTGAGTGCTCGGCAATAAAGTGGCACGCTTCGGGGTTGCTCGTGGTGTACACCCCGGCGGGGATGCAGCCTCCGAGGATAGCGCCGATGCAGGCAGTGACCCATTCGATCGAGTTGAACCCGATGATGTTGATCACATGGAAAGGTGCGAGGCCGAGGGCGATCAGAGATTTCGCAAACTTGCGGCAGTCGGCGTAGTATTGCGCCCACGTCTTAAATGTGTAGTCAGAGCTGCCAATAGCCTTTGTGTAGTACACGGGGCTGTCTGGGACGCGCTTGACGGTATTTTGAAACACCTCGACGATGGTTTTTGGGGTAAAGGCCCCCATCCCAGAGCTAGTCAGTCGAAGGGACACTTCTCGGTTCATTTCCCACGCCTAGAGGATCCATGGTTGTAAGAGCGGAGTGTCGGGAGAGGTGGAGAAAGGGGACATACAATCAACGGTTTGGTCATCATGTGGACTTAGGGGAAAATCGTGAAATGGCAAATGCTGTCAAGTCGAGGTCGTGTTTGTTGTGTATCGTATGTACTGGTAGTCGTAACAGACGGATCCTGCCAAGCCTTTAATGTCTCGTAGCCAATGAAAATCGATGCGGGTCAAACCAGATAATTGCCTTATGTGACAGCAGGATGAAAATTGATCATCATTCCTCTTTTCTTTCTAGGATATCTTCCACAGAGTTAGGACAAACAGTCGCCTGAATTTATCTTGAGATTGCTCTAGGAATTGGCTATTTAACGTGACGGATATGTGATTTCCCGATTTTGAACTACATTAAACGACCATATCTAGCTAAGTTCAAATTATCTCGACGTGAAAGTTGCAGTGCCGAACTCTCCATTTTGAGCTTTATCTCTTCGTCCGAATACAAATCAAGTGTAAGAGTTTGAATCAGGGCAAATAAAATGTCAAAGTTTGGCGCTCAAACAGGCGTCGGTATTTGCCGAAATTTAACCTTGAACTTCGATGAACATAATTATTGATTTATAGAGCAATATCATATGTACGCAGTAATAATATTTTACAGGTCATACTTGGTACAAAAACAGGCGAGCACCTCTTTAAGTTTTTACACTTCTCACCATGAAGTTTTGAAGGTGCCAGTTGTTGCAGGCTTTTATTTTATCCAATCATATCAAATCTTGAATTCTATTGGGTAATGCAGCTCAGCAAATCACCTGTCTTTCGGCAAATCACAGATCACTCACGTTATACCTATGTCTACTACTACGGAGTACAAAGCCTTGAATTCATCGATTAACTGTAAATCCTGAAAAAGTGGTCTTGGAGCAATATTAGTGGAAATGAGGTAGTAGATTTCGACGCAAACACTCCTACACTTCTCAAAGGCGTCGAATATCATGCAATACAAGTCGTATCGTTGAAACAGGTGAGCTTGTATTGCACGAGTTTATCTAGTACTAGTATTGCATCAAGAGCAGCACTAAAGCGCTCTAACAGCGTTCATGTTGCCCCAATACTACCGTACTGTAGTTTCGCGGTTACTATTTACGGGAATACTTCGCAGTAACAATGGCGATAGGTAGCGTTTCGAAATCAAAACTGCACATCATCACTGCGTTTTTCGTTTGGCTGTGGGGGTACTTCAGTACATACGATTGCGCCATGTAAGAGGCATCATTGATGTGGCAAGTCGTACAGTAGTCCCTTGCCACACAAGTCCCACAACTTCAAACCCCATATGGTTTCCGTATAATTTATCTATTTATAGCTAACGTTATAATAAATTCTGGAGATGTTTCATTTGGGTGCCACGAGTGGGGATGCTCTTAATAGCATCATCCCCCAGTTTCGATACTCAAAACTTCGTTGCACCGTTACTTCATGTTACAGTACGGATAATTTTGGACTTTATCCGGGCGGTTTTGTCCCCAAATTATCGGGATTATTGGGACGTCCGAGCGAAATGGGGAAAAACACCCGGATACATCCCCAAATTATCCGTAACTTTGATGATACCCGTATTGTAACAGATTTTGGGGATAGGGACATCGATAAGTACTTACAGGGACCCGCGTTGGAGATGGGTGCCCTTATGAGTTGAATTTTTGACTGGCCTCAGTTGATCACTCACCAAGGAGTCCTCAGCCTTCCAAGGATATCCTTCTGTCACCCATTTCGTTCGCTAAAGACGTGTTGACGAAACTGTCTGATCAATTTACCGTCATCTGTCGCGATGTGAAATTAGGACAAGGTGGTTACAATGTCCAAGCAAGGCTGTAGTGTGCTCGCGTGGGCTGTGTTGCGACAAGGGGAAGACAGAGGACGTTGAGAAACTTGCACACCTCCACACGCCCCCTTGAACCCCCCGTTGTCCAACAAGCCCTGCCGACAAATTCGATTGTCTCTTGACCTTGCCAATGGCGGTCTATTTAGGTACATGTAAATTACAAAGCTGGTCCAAATGGTTGACTCGACTCCCCGTTGAGTACAGTATACTGGATATGTACAGTGTACTGTTGTCATGATGCGGTACTCATGTTATGGTTACCGTACTCTAGGTCAGTTTGGTGAAGGAGGGCACAAAATGCTCTCGTCGATCATGTCCAACAAGGCCAACATCGGAATCACAAAACCCAGTACCGGTACTATTAATAGTATGAAATTTGTTACTCCCAATGTAACCATACCGTACAGGAAGCTGCGCTACATGTAATGCGATAAGCGTGTAATTCCTCCCATGCACCAATTAGCAATACTACGTAGTAATTAGCAATAACGTAAAAAACCAGTTTAACAGTAAGATAACCTAACCAATTTAGGATAACTTTGTATTGCCCAATCACACCTCGTTATTTGTTCGAGTCAAAACCTCTGTCATATAATGCCAACCCTTCAACCACGTGAATGAAATGCAAAAACGGCGTAGATGCCGTCGGTAACAGTCATTCAAGATTGGGTTCGAAGTACCCTAGTCGACACGGGCCACATTGGGTTGGATCTGAGGTTTTGTCGAGTGTTAAACTCGGTGGACATCCATCCACCACAGAAATCAACTCTATAAAACAATACCCTTGTATAAATTATATGTAACTTGTTGTAACCGCTTACCCTAAACACAGAATTTCAATGCTCCGACACATACATACTTGCTACGATAAGTACAATTCTAACGTTGAACACCGTTACGAAGGCATAGTATTAAGTTGTATATTCCTGCCACAATTGAGCAGGTAAATATTAACTACTTCGAAGTACTAAACTTACAGTGTTAAGCATCCCCACCCCTGACGCTAAACCCAAAACTCTAAAACCAGATCTAAAGTGGGATCACGCAAATTAATTTAGCGTTTTTCATCATATTTCACACCGGTTGCCAAACAGCGTTTGAACTCTACTCGCATGGATGCACGACACCAAGCAGCAGAATCGCCTGGATAAAAGTAGTTCAGGGCAAAGCATGCCAACAAGTCAGAGAATGAACTACTAGCAGGGAATATCGCTTAGAAGGCCGCAGTCGGAGTAGCACTCCGTTGGCGGTACAGTTGCGACCTATAATCGCGTCTACGCTTACATGCGCTTGAAAACGAAGCGATACACAACATTTGTTTGATAGTCTACGCATGCGTTAACAGAAGTCCAGAAGTCGCAATAGAGGGGGAGGGGGCATGCTCCGTTGGTCGAGAAACCAGTGCCTGTGATGTGGGCACCGTACACGAGCGAGCGGGTGCAGTGCTGGGGCAACGCATGCAGGCGTTGGTTCCACGCGACCTGGTCGTCCTTACATCTGTTCAGGCGCCAAATTTCAGTGTGCTTCCTACAAGAATCGCAAAAAAGGTCGGCGAGGTTGGCACATGCCTACATGCGTCACATGCAGTCGTGTCGATGAGACACACAAGATAGGACTCATGGACTCACTCTAACTTAGCGTTGAGCGGCGCTTTGCGCTATGTGGGGCCGCGAGGACACGCACCTGTACTTGGCCCCGCCATTGCAACCAGGTGTAATCCTAAACGTGTTGGGAATTAAATGTATATTGCTGATTGTATGCTGGCCAGAACTCTAACCAATCGGTCAAATCTGACGAATAATCTGACTTTACAGTTAGCGCGCCGGATAGCGTCGACGCTAGAATTTAGAGTCCCGCGGTGGGAGAATTAAAACGCTAAAATCTGACTGAAAAAATATAGTTTTGGAGTTTTATTAGCGCCACGAGTGGGGATGCTCTTAATAGCATCATCCCCCAGTTTCGATATCCTGGAGAAATGATTTCGTGACTACTACAGTAGCGTAATGCGCAACATGCTATGGAGATCACATGTAACTTCTTCACCCACAATCACAAAGCACATCATCCTACGCCAGGCTGACATTATGCCACACATCACAAGTACTACGTAGTTGCTTGTGTAGATTGATGCTCCGAATTACTTCGAAGTATACGGAACATTTGTACTTGCCGAAATATACTTTCATCGCTTATCATTGCCACTAAGCCTAGCGACATTAATTAGCTGCTGCCGCCTTGTGTGGTGTAAGGTTACTTTAAGTGAAGAGGTATTCAAAATCCAATTTACTACTCGGAGGACTTACCACGAATTACTACCAGCAATGGTAGAATACTATTTAACGCTATTTCACTAGTAACGTGACCTCTCATTGTTCAGCCGACTTCTTTTGAGCATACCTCGTTCAGTTTAAGTTGCCACTTCATGAAAGTGATGTAAACAGTCACTAATTAACGTACCAGTGGGGATGCCCGTCGCGGAATGGTCGCGGAATATTTCGGTCCATACAAGAGGCTTGTCGCGGATTATAGCTATGTTGATGAGATGAATGCAAAAAGTACACGGGAGTGGGCTACATGCTTATGGTGGCTACGCTGTGCCCTTATGTAACGGGTGGAGTTGCTCCTAAAAGGTTTAGCTAATGAGATGTGACTACACTAACGTTAGCTAGAAAATGTTAGCTACGCATCTAGCTACAGTACAAAGTGTGCAGCTGCAATACTATCGGCTTGGGTCTTGCCACAATGACTTACTAGTACTAGTACGACATACTAAGTTTAGTACTTCGAAGCAGTTAATATTTACCTGCTCAATTGTGGCAGGCATTCAACAGAATACTATGCCTTCGTAACGGTGTTCAACGTTAGAATTGTACTTTTCGTTGCAAGCAATTAGTCCCATCCACTTACTCAGGGATGTTTTAGGTCAATAGTACCAAATTCCCTGAGTGAGTGGGCATTTGACCAATTGAGTAAGTGTGTCACCTACTCACTCGGGGAATTGGACTATACAACGAGGACACTTCATACTTGTGCAGGCCAAGCTGGTTTGCCCAGATCACGTCGCAGTATTTAGAACCGACTGGCGCAGTGTGTCACCAAGGATATTTTATTAAATTTGGTGCAACACTGAAAGCAATCATTTTTGACCAATCAAAGTACTACATGAGAAGAAGTCGTCTAGCCATTCGCCAGCTTACCCTACTCATCATGATTTAATCGCGGAGGTATCCTCGGACTCCGGTAAGTGGCTAAAATGCAACCAATTAGGACGTGTTTCCAAAGGTTGAAGTACGAATTTCTATTGTATTTTCCCCCATCTGTTTCACTCAGTTTACATGTTAGTTTGTTCTACATATTCCATTGTGCCACACTGCTCCAGTTCGTAATCACGCGATACCAAGCATCGACAACAAGGACCCCATTCGCCAATTTTCATTACCACCTTCACACTCATCATGGTTGCCACAAAACCTCTCATCGTAAGTTAGCTACGTTGGTCTTGTATGTTCATCTAACGAAATGTTTCAATTCATGACCTAGGCTTGGGAAGTAAACCAAGAAGTGTCTCTCCGAATGGCAAGCTCGGGCGTGGGTTCAATAGCCCCTCAAACCGTCGTTGACATCTTTCGCAGCACCGTCGAGCGCGTCCCAGACAGCCCCGTGTACTACACAAAGGCTATTGGCAGCTCTGACTACACATTTAAGACGTGGGCGCAATACTACGCCGACTGCCGCAAGTTTGCGAAATCTCTGATCGCCCTCGGCCTCGCACCTTTCCATGTGATCAACATCATCGGGTTCAACTCGATCGAATGGGTCACTGCCTGCATCGGCGCTATCCTCGGAGGCTGCATCCCCGCCGGGGTGTACACCACGAGCAACCCCGAAGCGTGCCACTTTATTGCCGAGCACTCAGAAGCACATGTGGTTCTCTGCGACGGCGTGGCCCAGCTCGAGAAGTACGTAGCCATTGCGCACAAACTACCGGTTTTGAAGGCTCTCGTCGTGTACAACGACGTTGTGCCCAGCGACCTCAACTGTCCCGTGCCCGTGTTAACGTTTGCCGACTTTTTGAGTGTTGGTCGCGAAGTCACAGATGCAGTTTTGGAGGCTCGGATGAGCGCCCAGAAGCCCGGCAACTGCTGCACCCTCATCTACACGAGTGGGACCACGGGCCACCCAAAGGCGGTGATGCTGTCGCACGACAACTTGACGTGGACGGTCGAAGCCACAGTTCAGCAATATGAACAATCGGGCCTGGTCTTGAACGAACATAGCAACACAGTGTCGTATTTGCCCTTGTCGCATGTCGCTGCGCAGCTATTCGACATCTATTTGCCCATTACGCGAGGCTTGGCCATCTACTTTGCCCAGCCGGATGCCCTCAAGGGCAGTTTGGGCACCACGTTAAAGGAAGCGCGGCCGACGTTGTTCTTTGCCGTCCCCCGAGTGTGGGAAAAGATGATGGAGAAGATGATTTCCATTGGCCGGGGCA